GTAAGAATTTTTATTTTAAATAAATATTTCATTTAAATATTTAATCTTTTTTATTTTGTTTATTTTACAAAAAGGTTGCCGAAAGGAAAATCTACTGCATGTCAGTTTTTTTTTTCAGGTTTGATTTTTCCAATATAAGTTTGCACTGCCATTTTGTTCAACTCACCTCAAATACCTTTCTCTCCTGTTTCTCGTTTTCTTCTTTTTGCTGTAGAGCTGTGATCTGTTTAGACAGAAGTCTCATGAGCAACATAACATTTACTGATAAAGCAAACATTTTAGCAGGTCTTATGCACACCCTGTATGTTATCTGAAAACAAACCTACAAATTAACCTGAAAGGCCGCAAGTTTCTTACATAATATCTAGTTCTCATTGTTTGATTTTTCTTTGTTTTCTTCACCTGGTAACTATTACATAAGAATGATATACTGTATATGTAATTGTCATGTAACATTTTTACCTGTAACCTGTACACCTCTGACGAGAGAGAAAATGTGAAACCTAGTTCAGATGAAGGTGTGCTTGACAGATGCGAAGTGGCTGAGGTCTTGAGGTCCATTTAAGCAAATCTTGGACAAACAGGAAAAGATGTTCTCAACAAGCAGGCAGTGCACTCAGGAAATCTATCTGATCTATCTGACATATTTATGCATTTTTATTTTCTTTGTCCAAAACTAGAATAATGGGTTTGAATGATAGCTTATATTTAATAGAGGAACAAATGGTAGCCTACCTAGCAACTTGCAAGTTTCCCACAATGTAACAGAAATATGAGAAATGCACGTAGCGGGTGGATCTGCCCATCCAAAACCAGAAAGTGATGATTCAAGAATCAACAAGGTAAAATTCAACCCTTACATTCTCTCTCTCTCTCTCTCAAAAAAAAAAAAAAAAAGCAAGTTTCACAAGCCAGGAAACTTGACTCACGGCTGTTTCCACAAGATCACAATGTTCATCATGTTGGGATTGTGTTTATACATGCAGCTCCATAATCATGGACATGATTGTGGTGGGAATGACATGTTCTTTGATGTATGATGTTGTGGTACCAATGTCTGACTGCCTGATATTGATAAAACTACGATGAGATCTAGATCTGAGATCTAGACTAGATATGAATTTACTTCATACTCGGACACTTAAAAACAGGAGATTGTAATTGAAAATTAGACCTGTGTAGACACTACATAAATAAACATAATAGATATTTAATTATATATACAGTATATTGAATCTGTTAATGTATTTTAATGCTGATAAAGTTATATATTTTTAATTATTTAATTAAAAAACGTTTCCAATAATTGTTTAATGATTTTAATTGAATTTACATTTTATTTAATTAATAAAACTGTGTCCTGGATGACTAAGCATCTCCATAGGAATACATCCTGTAAGTCATTAATAATGACATATAAATCATCCACGCCCTTTAATCAGTGTGTTACGTAATCACGTCTACGGGATGTGTGAGCGTCTGTGGCCGCGGGAAGGCGCCACTGAGCGGTCGAGGACCTGACAGCGTTTGGAAACTCCCTTTTAATTCTCACCTGGAGCCTCTTGAAGATTAAGCAGAGTGGAGTATCTCATGCCAGATGAGAGCACAGTCTGAGAGGACTGTTCAAGACTGGCTGCTTTCTAAGGAACAAGTTTCATAAGAAAACCGGAATACCGTGGAAATGCCTCACCTGAACTTTCCAGACCAGATTAACATGGACCGTCCGATGTAAAGGATTTTACAGCGCCGAACAAGGAAACTTGAGGGATCCCGAAGTTACAGGTAACAGCCCTGCCCAGTCTTCCAACATGACATTAAAACTCGTGTAATTAGTATAATGCAAAGTCAGAACTAAAGTGTCTAAAAACTATACTCTATACTCTTAAACCCTATTCGCACGGGATTAGTATTATCGGAATTTTTACTTTACAAATTACAGACATGGCCGATTCGCACGGGATTAAGATCACAGACAACCTCCGCAATTATTACAAATGACTGGCGGTCACCAGGTAATACTAATCCCGTGCGAATAGGGCTTTAGTATTCATTAAAATGTGTGCTCCCTGATATTTTGGTCTCAATAAGTTTTACTTTCAGTAGTATGTATATGTGTGTGTCCTGGTCTCTCTTTCACTTCTTTGAAAGTTGTACTAACCCCATGTATTTCTAATTCTTAAAGTCAGCGACGTATTTCTTAGGATCTAATTAAAATATATATATATATATATATAATATACACATAAATTCAGTTCACAAGACAATATACTTTCTGAATTAAATGTAATTCTAATAAATTTGTGGGACTTGTCTAAAACGACTGTTGTGTAACTTTTGGGAGGTTGTAAAAAAAAAAATAAAAAAAAATAAGTAGTTTGGTATGATCTTATATAGGCCTATAATATTTTTATTTTTTTTCTAAGAAAATGATTAGTGATGCCAAATAAAATAGAATGCCAAATCAATGTCAGTGTGGTGCAATCAGTGTGCAGGAAGCCATTTTGTTGTCATGTGACAACCATAAACAGGAAATGATTTCACAGGGGGGACCACTGTAGACCCTCATGACTGTGTCAGTAAGGTGTTTTTGTTTGTTTGTTTTGTTGTTTTTTTGACAAAAAGGCAAAGGTTAGCTAAGGTCAAATCAATTAACCCTATGAAAACTTACTAATATTATTTCTTGTTGGTTTTGATTTTACCTGGAAAACCTTTTAAAACAAAATCACGTTGTTTGTAATGTTCACATTGTAAGGAAAATATTTTATTACTTTTAACTTGTGGGTTTCACCACATGACATTTTTTATTTTTAAATAACAATTTTTACTGAAAATGCAATTGTTAAAGGGGTAATTATGATGCGATTTCAATTTTTCCTTTCTCTTTGGAGTGTAACAAGCTCTTGGTGCATAAAGAAGATCTGTAAAGTTGCAAAGACTAAAGTCTCAAATCCTAAGAGATATTCTTTATAAAAGTTAAGAGTCAGCCACACCTACCTAAAACGGCTCATTCTAACACGCCCCCA